CAGGGGTCCCAAGTGAGTGACATGCCCCAGGGGTTAGGGTGGAATGGTGGGGATGGAGCTGAGCTGACTCCGCCCCTACTTTGCCCCACCCCCACCCTGCAGGCCTGCACATCGTGCTCAATTCCATCATGAAGGCGCTGGTGCCTCTGCTGCACATCGCACTGCTCGTGCTTTTCGTCATCATCATTTATGCCATCATCGGACTCGAGCTGTTCCTCGGACGCATGCACAAGACATGCTACTTCCTGGGATCTGGTCAGCCAACCCACTCCCTCCCAGAACAGGCCACACCCCCTCTCTGGCTCCTAGCCCCTACCCTGTTCTCAGAACAACAACAGCAAACCCCATTAATACCGATTCTGACTTACAGCGACCCTATAGTACAAAGTAGAACTGCTCTATAGGGTTTCCAAGGCTGTAAATCTTTATGGAACAGACTGTCTCATCTTTCTCCAGTGAAATGTGGCTGGTGGGTTTGAACCACTGAGCTTTTGGTTAGCAGCTGAATGCTTTAACCACTACACCACCAGAGCTTCTCCCTGTTCTCAAGGAAACCAAAAACCAAAGCCCTAGCCGAGTAGATTCAGACTCAGAGCGACCCTATAGGTCAGAGTAGAACTGCTCCGTAGGGTTCCCAAGGCTGTAATCTTTACGTGGGAAGACTGACACATCTTTCTCCCGCGGAGAGGCTGGTGGGTTTGAACCATCAGTTTAGCAGCCAAGCGCTTAACCACTGCTCCACCAGGGATCCTTGTTCTCCGGGAAAACCACCCAGATTCACATACTTCTCCACTCCACTGACACCCAAGCCCCTCCCCCATATGCAACTCTGCTCTAATCTCTCTGTTACTTACAAGACTCCACCCCAAGGTTTACAGGCCCATTCCCCACATTGCGGTGGGTGGGACTCACAGCTTCCCATTGGCTCAGAATTTCACCTGGGGGCTTCTGGGTTCTTGTGAAGGCAGAGCTTGCCGCTGCCCTTGACTTAGAAATCTAAGCACCTGAGTCGAAGTCCCTAAGGTGGATGAAGATGCCGGGAGCCAACGGGTGGGCTTGGAGTGGAATCCCAACCTCTAGTCTTCTCGCAGATGTGGAGGCAGAGGAGGATCCTTCACCTTGTGCGTCTTCTGGCTCTGGGCGTGCGTGCGTGCTGAACCAGACTGAGTGCCGTGGGCGCTGGGCAGGGCCTAACGGAGGCATCACCAACTTCGACAACTTCTTCTTTGCAATGCTGACTGTCTTCCAATGCGTCACCATGGAAGGCTGGACTGATGTGCTCTACTGGGTGAGGTGGACATTGGGCATATGAGGGCAGGGTGGGGAGGCAGTGTTCATCTTGAAGGCCATACTGGCCCTCCCTACCCTAGCCTCAGGAGGTCTATACCCCCTAAGGGATAAATGACCCCTCTCTCCCCAGATGCAGGATGCCATGGGATATGAGCTGCCCTGGGTGTACTTTGTGAGCCTGGTCATCTTTGGGTCCTTCTTCGTTCTCAACCTTGTGCTGGGCGTCCTGAGTGGGTGAGAGGCCCATGCCACACCTCACAGTTCCTGTCCCCCCTTTTTTTGTGGCTGGCATACTCAAAGTCATCGTTAAAAAGCACCTGAAATACTCCTTCATTCATTCAACCAACATTTATTGAATATCTACTGTGTGTGGAACAGAGCAAGAAATAAATATACGAACGTTGCTGGAGATTCCATTCTAACGGGGAGAGACAGACAGTAGTAACAAGCACAATAAATAAGTGTATATATGTAATAAATAATTATCCATACATATATGGTGTTTTAGATAGAAATATGTGTTATGAAAAGAAAGAAAAAAATAAAGATCAGGAATCTTGTGATTATAAATAGAGAAATCAGGGTAAGTTTGCATAATATTCCATTGTGTGTATGTACCATAGTTTGGTTATCCATTCCTCAGTTGATGGACACCTAGGTTGTTTCCATCTTTTGGCTATTGTAAAGAGTGCTGCGATTAACATGGGTGGGCATATTATGCTCTTTTAAGATTAGATAGGAACCTTAAGGGGTCAATGAGTTTATGTTAATGAGGGAGGAACAACTCAGGAAAGGAGAGTGAGAATTGGTTGCACAACTCAAAGAATGTAATCAACATCACTAAATTGGACATATGGAAATTGTTTAATTGGCATATGTCTTGCTGTGTATAGTCTCAACAACAACAAAATAAAGTTTAGAAAAAAACTGTAGTGATGATGAAAATATTCTAAAATTGAATAATGATGATGGATACACAACTCTGTGAATATACTAAAAATCACTGAAATGTGCATTTCGAAGGATGAATTTTATAGGATGTAAATTATATCTCGATAAAGCTGTTATTTAAGAAAAATAAATAAGATCAGAGCAGACCTCATTAAGACGGTGGTGTTTGACTTAAAACATGAAAGAGATGAGAGAATAAACCATGTAACTTAAGGAAGAGTGTTCCAAGCAAAGAGAACAGCCAGTGCAAAGGCTCTGAGTCTAGAATATGCTTGGCATATTCAAAGAACAGTGAGGAGGCCAGTGTAGCTGGAGTGGGGAATACAAGAGGGCAAGGACAGTTCTTTCACCTAGTCTTCTATTCTCCTCTCTTAGAGAGTTCTCCAAGGAGAGGGAAAAAGCAAAAGCACGAGGGGACTTCCAGAAGTTGCGTGAGAAGCAGCAGTTGGAGGAGGACCTGCGGGGCTACCTAGACTGGATCACCAAGGCTGAGGGACTGGACATCAAGGACCCTTCTACAGGCAACAACTCCAATTCTGTGGCTAAAGAGGGCCGGGCTGGCCACTGTAGACAGCCCCAGAATGGCTCACTCCCTGATTCACATGTGCCCTCCTGAGACCCTACAACAACTCTGGACCTAGTCCCTAGTTATGACCCAGGACACAAAACCCATACCCAGCCTCATACCCTCCACAAGAAAGACCAGAAGAAAGACTCCAAATAGGCCCCTCCAAGACATGACCCTAACCCAAGCCATGCTCCCCAACTGTTCCCTCTGCCCCTGCAGGACCTCAGCTGGCCGACCTGACCAATAGGAGACTTGGACGTCTGCGCTGGTTCAGTCACTCCACCCGGTCCACACAGTCCACCAGCAGCCATGGTTGGAGTCTAGCCAGGCTAGGGAAGGGGGTGGGGTGGGTGGAGAGAGGAGAAACCAAAAACAGAACCCTGGGGTCTTCAGATTCTGATCTCTATCCCCACCGTACCCACAGCCAGCCTCCCAGCCAGCGACATTGGTTCAATGGTGGAAACCCCAGGAGATGAGGAGGAGGAAGAGGGGGCTCTGGCCAGCTGTACACGCTGCCTGTGAGGACCCCAAGCTGACTTCAGCCCAGAACCCAGTCCAGGCCTAAACCCCAGTTATTATTACTTCAGCCTCAGACCTTTACCTCAGACTCTGACCCCCAGCCCCAGCCACTAACTCTTGCTCAGCCCCTTATGACCCCAGCACCTATCCCCCTCTTTTCCAGAAACAAGATCATGAAAACCAGAGTGTGGTGAGTTGGGAAAGCAGTGTGCCTCCTTGACCTCATGACCTTGTGACCCTCACCTCCAATCCCCTCCCCACAACTGCCAAGTCCCCCCACCCGAGTCTCTCAGGGCAGGCTTGAGTAGATGATCTCAGCTGGTTCCCCATTTCCCAACAGCCACCGCCTCCGCCATGCCAACCGAAGCTTGCGTGCACACTGTCGGTGGGCAGTGAAGTCCAATGTCTGCTACTGGTCTGTGCTGCTGCTGGTCTTCCTCAACACGCTGACCATTGCCTCAGAGCACCACGGGCAGCCCATGTGGCTCACCCAGACCCAGGGTGCGTCTCCCAGCCTGCCAGCTCTCTCCCACACTCCCCAATTCCAACTCAGAAGTTCAAATCTGGGATCTTTAGGATGCCTCAGATCCCAAAACACTGTCTTTCCACCCAAATAAATGCAGAAAATCTTAGCCAATCCTATCCCCACCTTGTAGTTTACACTTATGTAGCACTTATTGGATGCATCAAGCTCTGTTTACATCATTTATCTTTACCACAACCTTATGTTAATTAAGTGCTAAGGCACAGAGTACTAGATACTGAGGCACTGACTAATCCCAGGACTTAGCTAATGAGTAGCATTCAGAATTTGAATCCAGACAGCCTGACTCCAGAGTGCAGACTCTTTAACACCACACTGTCTGGACAAGTTAACCCCTCTGTGCCTCAATTTCCCCATCTACAAAATAGTAATGTTAATAGTATTCCCTTCCTGGGGTGGTTGGGAGGATTAAATGAGTAAAAGTGGAAAGTGCTTAGAATATCATCTGACTCAAAAATAGATACATTGTAAATGTTAGCACTCATTATTATTCATTATAATCTCAACCCCAATATGAAAACTGAGCATACTTATAACACCAACCCCCAAAACCAACCCCACTCCCAACTCAACCCTAGACCTTAATTCTACCTTTGAATTGCAATTTTCCTGGACTTGTGGAGGCTAACTCTGGCCTCTACCCTAACTCTGCCCTCTGTCCCAGCTCCTCAAAACTTCACCCACTCTAACCTACAAATTCATCCCAATCTCTAACCTTAACCTCACCCCAGCTAATGCCTAATTTGATTCCAGATCCCTGAGATGAACCCATAGGGGATCTACCTCTCCCATGTCACAATGGAGACTGGGCAGCTCAGTCACCCTTGCCCCTCTTCCATACAGAGTATGCAAACAAAGTGTTGCTCTGTCTATTCACGGTGGAAATGCTTCTCAAGCTGTATGGTCTGGGTCCCTCTGCCTATGTCTCCTCCTTCTTCAACCGTTTTGATTGCTTCGTGGTCTGTGGAGGCATCCTGGAGACCACTCTGGTGGAGGTAGGGGCCATGCAGCCCCTGGGCATCTCAGTACTCCGATGTGTGCGCCTTCTCAGGATTTTTAAGGTTACCAGGTGTGTTGGGGGCAGGGAGGACTGGGGCCTCAAACACAGTTCTAACAGCCCCCACCCCAGCTTCAGTGATAACTTCATCTGCATCACCATTCATTTAGCAAATATCCATGGAGTGCCTACTGTAGGCCATACATCATTTCAGGCTCTCTATGGAGAGAGGGAGATGTACTGCATTTCCATCCCCTTCCCCAAACTCAACTCTACACCCATTTCCAACCAAAACCCCACCCCAGCCCCTAAACATAACATCACCCTTAAACCCATTTACAACCCTAACACACAATCCCAAGCCCAACCCCATTTCCAAACTCATTTCTAATTCCCAACCATAGCCCTATCCCCATCTCTATCTCTAACCACCAACTCAATCCTCAGTCCCTGACCACAACACCACATCCCTAACCCCTAACCATCACTCTACCTCCAACCACAAACCTATTCCCTATCCATAATTCTATATCCAACACCAAATTACCAACCACAACCACTTTCACAGTGCATCTTCAATCCTATCTCCAGTGCTACCCTCAACCACAGCCTCATTCCCAGCCCCATCTCCAATTTCATTCCTATCCCCAACCCTTAATTAAATCTCTATCAAAACACTTAACGACAACTACACCCCAACCCTCAACCACAGCCTTATCCCCAACTTCATTTGCAGCCTTAAATAACCTCCAACCCATAACCACGACTACATCCCCATTTAGAACTCCAAACCACACCCCGTTTCCCTAACCCCAATCCCCAATCTGAAACCCAATCCTAGCTTCACCAAGTTCCATCTAAACCCCCATCCTAACCTCATCTCCCATTATACTCCTAACACCAACACTAACGCCAAACTTGACTTTCCCTTCACTTCGTAATCCAACTTCACTCCACCTCTGACCTTGACACCAAACCCCAATTTAACCCACCCCACCCCAGTGCATACCAAGTGGGAACCCCTGCCCTGGCCACTGGCTCACCAGTGGACATGCTGCCAACTCTGCCGTCTCTTATCTCTCCTGTAGACACTGGGCATCTCTCAGCAACCTGGTGGCATCCTTGCTCAATTCAATGAAATCTATCGCATCCCTGCTTCTTCTCCTCTTCCTGTTTATCATCATCTTCTCTCTGCTTGGCATGCAGCTGTTTGGGGGCAAGTTCAACTTTGACCAGACCCACACCAAGCGAAGTACCTTTGACACCTTCCCCCAGGCCCTCCTCACTGTCTTTCAGGTGGAGCCTGGAAATCCTGGAAATGGGTGGATTGGTGGGTCAGAAAGGTCTCAATAGCTTCATGATGACTTCCCACCCCCAGATTCTAACAGGCGAGGACTGGAACGTGGTCATGTATGATGGTATCATGGCCTACGGCGGTCCTTTCTTCCCAGGAATGCTAGTCTGCATCTATTTCATCATCCTCTTCATCTGCGGCAACTGTATCCTGGATAGCAATGGGGTGAGAGTAGATAAGGAGATCTGGTGGCACCCCAGGCAGGCTACCTCTTCATCCTTTTCAACCTGAGCTCACCTCAGACATCCTGCTAAACGTGTTTCTTGCCATTGCTGTGGACAACCTGGCTAGTGGGGATGCAGGCACTGACAATGACAAGGGCAGGTGAGGTCTGGCGCTGCCCCAAGATAGTCTTCCCTGGAATCCTCAACAAGGAACTCCCACATACATCCCACATCACCAAAGATATGTATGGCCACTCTTGTAATCCCCACCTCTGGATACAATGTGCCATTGATCACTCATTCAACATTCATTTATTGAGCACCTGCTTTGTGCCAGATTCTGTTCTAGATTCTGTTCTAGGTACTGAGGAAATAGCAGATAACAAAGCAGACACAGTACTTGCCTTCATGGAGCTAACATTCTACTTGGGGAAGGCACGCAAAATACAAACAAATGAATATATATTACTATTTAATTAAGTATATGTTAATAATATGTAATACCAAAAAAGACAGCAGAATAAAAAGATAGAAAGAAATGAAGATTGCTCCTGGTTAGGGTAGCAAGACCTCTATGAAGAAGTGGCATTTGAATAAAAACCTCAATGAAGTAGAAGTGGCCCATGCAAATACCTGTGGGAAGAGTGTTCAAGGCAGGGAATAGCAAGTACAAGGGTCTTGAAGCATTAATGTTCTTAGCACATTCAGAAAACACCAAGGAGACCAGTGAGATTGGAGCAGAGTGATCAGAGGAGTGGTAGGAGGTAAGGTCAAAAGAGGACTAGAGAGGTCATATCAAGGGCCTTGTAGGCCATGGTGAGGACTTTGGTTTTTGCTCTGAATGAAGGGGGAGCCACAAGATGGTTTTGAGCAGAGGAGGAATGTGGCCAGACTTAGGCCACAAGATCCCTGTGGATGATTTAGAAAGAATAGACTGTGAAGGGTGAGGGCAGAAGGTGGGGTTCTATGGGATCCAAGACAAGTCTGTTCTGACTGCAATGACACCCTCAGCCTTGCACACCCACTGCAATCCTCAGTAATCACTGCCCCCATCTCCTCACACAGGGAAAAGAGCACTGAGGAGAACCTCCCACAGGAGAATGGGATGTTGGTGAGTTAGAAGGCAGGACACTGTCTACACTTCCCAATACCACCAGTATCTTTCTGTGCATGTCTCTAACCCCCATCCTCTGACTATTCATTCCCCCATGATTGTATCCCTTCTACACTCTGCCTGTGTCCTTCCTCTGATGTCTCTCCCACTATTGATGACTCCCATCTCCCTGATGGGGACAAGAAGGTGCCTGATGGGGAGAACAAGGAAGAAGAAGGTGCAAAGAGTGAAGGAGCAGGCAAGTGGGCGGGGCTAGGTGGAGAAGGTGTGGGACCTTGGGGACAGAACCCAGGCAGAGTTACTGACCCCTAAGATCCTCTGCTCTGGGGAGCAACCTTTTTGAAAATATGATTGGTGTGTGGCCAGCAACATTTGGGAACATGGAGGTTAAACAAGAGAAACAGATGTTTTGCTTGGTACCCATCCCTAAGGGCAGAACTTCTTGGAGACTTTATTATAAAATAATAGCCATAGTGATATTCACTCAATACACATTTACTTAGCTTCTTCTGTGTACCAGGCACAGTCTAAGTGCTGGGGATACAGTAGTGAACAAAACAGATGGAAATCCCTTCCCTGAAAAGCTGGCATTCTAGCAGAGGGTGGAGGAGAATTTACTGTGTGACAAGCTCTGTTCCAGCTATTTTACATGAATTTTCTCAATCAATTCTCTCTGGTGCCAGGCATGAAAGAGGAGGAGGAAGAGGAAGAAGAAGGTGCAGGGAGTGTGGAAATTCTGCAGGAAGTTGTACCCAAGGAGAAGGTGGTACCCATCCCAGAGGGCAGCGCCTTCTTCTGCCTTAGTCAAACCAACCCGTGAGTGCTGGAGATGGGTGGCAGCCAGGGCAGAAGAGGGCTAGGGCAGGGGCAGAACCATGGATCAGCCAACGCAGTGGTCTCCTCAGTCCTCACCAGCCACAGAGGAGTGGCTGGTGCATGGCCCACAGCTGAATCCCTCAGGCTCCCTCAAAGAATTCCAGGGCCCTGGATTCTGACTCTGGCCCATTCCCTCCTTCCCAGGCTGAGGAAGGCCTGCCACACCCTCATCCACCATCATATCTTCACCAATCTTATCCTGGTGTTCATCATCCTGAGCAGTGTGTCCCTAGCCGCAGAGGACCCCATCCGAGCCCATTCTTTCCGCAACCACGTAAGCCTGTGGCTAGGAGCTGGGGGGGCACTTTTAGAGGTCATGTCAAGGAAGGGGTGGAGACAGGGGAAAAGTGAGACAGAGAGAGGAGTAATAATGGCTGTTCCAAGGTGTCAGCCTTTACTGTGTGTGCAACATACTTGGGGAAGTCAAGTGTCAATATGTGACTGAGGAAGAAGCTGTACTCAGTGAGATTAAGCAGGCTAAAGGCACTCATGTAGCTCATGTAGCTAGGTAGAAGCAGAAGAGACCAAATCTGAACCCTAATCTTTCTATCTACAAGTCTTTGGGCTTGTAGAGAAGCCTTCAACAATGATGAGAGAGGGCTGAGAAAGAGAGAGTGAGAGGGAGGAAGGGAGAGCGAAGCTTACATAGAAAGGGGCACACGTGTATGCATGTGTGCACACACACAGATACCTAGGATCCTTTAGGCCATGACTCAGTGGCTCCTCCACTTTTCTACCCCCCAGATTCTGGGATACTTTGACTATGCCTTCACCTCCATCTTCACTGTGGAGATTCTACTAAAGGTGACTAATGGACATACAGTTGCCCCAACCTACTCCCTATCTACTGCCACAGCCCACCTCTCCTGTCCCCATCTCCCCTTCTACCAACTACCTCTGCATCTAGGGTCTAGCCTGCTATCTTCCTGCCCCCAGATGACTGTATTTGGGGCCTTCCTGCACCGTGGTTCCTTCTGCCGTAGCTGGTTCAATCTGTTGGATCTGCTGGTAGTCAGTGTATCCCTCATCTCCTTCGGCATCCAGTGAGTGACCACTTCCCCACCCCATTCCCCCTAGAGCCCAAGTCAGGCCTGAGCCAGGGCCTGAGGACTTTCCCCTCCCCAGCTCCAGCGCCATCTCGGTGGTGAAGATTCTGAGAGTACTCCGAGTACTGCGGCCTCTCCGAGCCATCAACAGAGCCAAGGGACTCAAGGTAGCTCCCGCCACCACCCCAACCTCAAAGGGCCCAAGCCCTTCCCTGCTCCTGGGGCTAGGATCACTAATCAGATGACCATTCACACTGATGCATGGCAGCCTTGACTTAGCATGTAACCACACATCTTGGTACATACCCTGGATAACTGGCCATGTGGCCTGACCTAAGTTCCTTAAACCAAAAAAAAAAAAAAAAAGAACGAACTCACTGCCATCGAGTTGACTCTGACTCACAGCGACCCCCTTTAGGTTTCCAAGGCAGTAAATCTTTATAGAAGTAGATTGCCCCATCTTCCTTCTGCTGAGCAGCTGGTGGGTTTGAACCGCCAACCTTCTGATTAGCAGTCAAATGCCTTAGGCACCACACCACCAGATTTGTGTTCCTTATCACTAAATATATGTTCTTTACCACTGGCCACTTTCATTGATTCAAGTTCCTAACATGTGACCAAATATCCCTGACTGGTAAACATTCATTCTTGGGTGGTGACCACACATCCCTGGCTCTCTTATACTTGACCCACAGCCCTATGTCTCTGGCCCAAGTCCCTGAGCTTTATCCATGACTAAAGTCCCCACCTAATGGCCTTTGTGGACTGCAGTGCCCCTTAGCCATATATGTGGGTGCCTGCAGCACGTGGTGCAGTGTGTGTTTGTTGCCATCCGGACCATTGGAAACATCATGATTGTCACCACACTCTTGCAATTCATGTTTGCCTGCATTGGCGTGCAACTCTTCAAGGTAAAGGGGCACACTGGAGGGAGGTCTAGGCAAGGGTCAGCGTTGAGGGTGAAAGATGAACCTGCTTGACAAATGTCCTCCCTACAGGGAAAATTCTACAGTTGCACTGATGAGGCTAAACACACTCCCCAAGAATGCAAGTGAGTACCCAAGACCTTTTACTCCACAGAACCCAGCACTCCTCCCAAAGATTATAGAGGCCTCCAGATCTTACCAAGGCCCAGAATACCCCTAGAACTCACCTCCCAAAATTCAGAGACCTCCAAATTTCATTAAGATCTCCAAGAACTCCCCAAGACCCCAAAATACACTCTCAGAACTCTCCCAAGAACTACAGAGGTCTCAAATCTGACCGGGGCCCTCAGAGGCACCCCAGTATCTCCCTCAAACCCCTTTCCACAATTACCTACATTTCACATGAGACCACCTAACAAGCAATCCCCAACCTTCCCCAAAGTCCTCAGCTTCCACCTTGAGACTTCTGTAGAGGGTAGTGATTAAGAGTGGGCTTTGAAGTCAGATATTTCTGATTCCAATCCTACAGCCATCACTTAGGTGGCTTAGTACATTTGTACTTGAGTACATTTCTTAACTTTGGTAAGTCTCATTTTCTTCAAATGCGAAAGGTGGATAAATAGAGTGCTTCTGGTGGCATAGTTCCTAAGGCATTTGACTGGTAACTAGGTTGGCGGTTCAAACCCACCAGCCACTCTGCAAAAGGAAGACTGGGCAATCTACTTCTGTAAAGATTTACCACCTTGGAAACCCAAAGGGGGTCACTATGAGTCAGAATCGACTCAATGACAGTGAGTGTGGGTTTTTTTTTTTTTTTTTTTTTGGTCTCACAAAGTTATTGTAAGGAGTCAATGAGTTACTACATGGAAAGTGCTTAGATAGTGCCTGGAATATAGTTAGTGCTGATAAATGTTGTCTATTATTAGTATGGAGTCCATAAGTAACACAAATAGTTAAGCCTTTGGCCATTAACTGAAAGGTTGGCAGTTCTAATCCACCAAGGGACACCTCAGAAGAGAGGCTTGGTGATTTACTTCTGAAAGGTCACAGCCATTGAAAACTCTATGAGGCAGTTGAGACAGAAACCACTTGAGGCAACTGGTTTTGGAGTCTCTGGATAATGCAAGTGGTGAAAACACTGGGCTGTTAACCAAAAAGTTGGAGGTTCGAACCCACTCAGAGAAACCTCAGAAGAAAGATCTTGTTGATCTACTTTTAAAAAAAATCGGCCATTGAAAATCCTATGGAGCATAGTTCTCCTCTGACAAACATGGGGTTGCCATGAATTAGCACCAACTCCATGGCAACTGCTTATTATTAGTATGACTTTTCCCTGGGTGGTGGTGATGACGATGACAATGATGATAATGATGGTGATGATGGTGATGGTAGGTAACACATATGGTGCCAGACACTATTCTCATTTATTGACTTATTTAATCCTTGCAACAAGCCATAAAATAGATACTGCTATTATCTCTATTTCACAAATAGGGAAAACTGAAGCAGGGAGAGGCTAAATGCCATTGCCCAGCCAGTAAATGGAAGGTCAAGGTTTGAACTCATGCTATCCAGCTCCACCACTATGCCATGCTTCCTCCATGCTGAAGACCCCAGACTTCTTTTCACAGCTCCCCAACCCTCTCCACCAACCCACCTTGTCTACGATATCCACAGGGGCTCCTTCCTGATCTACCCTGATGGAGATGTGTCACATCCTCTGGTTCGAGAGCGGCTCTGGGTCAACAGTGATTTCAACTTTGACAATGTCCTTTCAGCTATGATGGCCCTGTTCACTGTCTCCACCTTTGAAGGCTGGCCTGCGTAAGGGACAGGATCTCAAAGGGATGGGCAAGGGACTGCGCAGGGGTCCAGTGGATTGGATTAGAATCTCTTGAAAATGAGTGGGAAGGTTTCTCGGGTATGTGATGAAGGTCTCTTGAGACTGGATAAAGGTTTTTGGGAACTGGTGGTCATAAAAGAGAAATGGACAGGGGTCTGGGGACTTGGATGGAAGATCTCTAGGAATTGGGTGAAGGTCTCTGAGGGACTATGTGGAAGTCTAGAGAAGACTGGGTGGAGTTTGGGAGGTTCAGGGGATTGAGGGGGGTCTCTGAAAAGATAGAATAGGAGATATGGGGATTTCCAGAGGGGATTTGGAGGTCTTTGAGGTACTAGCTGGAGATCTCTGAGGGGAAAGAGTAAGGTATACAAGTTGATGGGGCAAAGGATTTGGAGATCTTTGGAGATTTATAGGGGAGTTCTGAGGAGCTGCATGGGGATCTCCAGGTTATTGGAGAAGAGGAGTTGAGACTCTGTAGGAACTTTCAGGGGATGTATGAGAGTCTCTGAGTACATACGGACATGGTACAAGGGATTTGGGGGTCTTTGGGGTGCCAGGCAGAAGATTTTTTGGTGTTAGTCTGGGGGCTAAGGGAGCTGGGGTATCCCCTCACCAGCCCCTACCTGCACACTCCCCCGGCCCCTGCAGACTGCTATACAAGGCCATTGATGCACATGCAGAAGACAAGGGCCCCATCTATAATTACCATGTGGAGATCTCTGTGTTCTTCATTGTCTACATCATCATCATTGCTTTCTTCATGATGAACATTTTTGTGGGCTTTGTCATCATCACCTTCCGTGCTCAGGGTGAACAGGAGTACCAAAACTGTGAGCTAGACAAGAACCAGGTAACCCCCAACCCATGGCCCTTTATCTGTGGCCACCAACCCCCTCATTGCCTCTTTGCCTTGGGACTTCACCACTCACTCATGCCCTGCACTGATCTGCAGCGCCAGTGCGTGGAGTATGCTCTCAAGGCCCAGCCACTCTGCCGCTACATCCCCAAGAATCCACATCAGTATCGTGTATGGGCCACTGTGAACTCTGCTGCCTTCGAGTACCTCATGTTCCTGCTCATCCTGCTCAACACAGTTGCCCTAGCCATGCAGGTCTGGCCTCTCCACCACACCCTTGCCAGACACTTGGCCATGTTCTCCTCACACAATCCCTTGGGAATTCTTAGAGATGCTTTAGGTGCAAATAACAAAACTTCACTAACATTTGCCACATTTCTTCAAATCTAAGGCCAAAAATTGTAACTTTCATCCTGATTTCAGAGACTTTAGAATGTAAAAAAAAAAAAAAAAAAGGCAATGGCAATTGTAAGTTGCCATTGGTTTTAAAAGCATTCCAATTCCAGAGATTCTAAAATGTGAAAAGATATTCATCCTGGAATCAATGAAATATGATAGTTATCTCACATAACAAGAAGTGTAGAGATCAACTGTTTGGTCATTGCTTATAAGGGACCCAGGCTCTCTTTCTGCTGTACCATTCTTAATGAGTTGGTGTTCATTCTTATGATTGTTGCTTCATGGTCACAAGATGGCTTCCACAGTTTCAGTCATCAGAATGACATTCAAGGCAGGAAAAGAGAGGGAGAATTTCACCAGGGGGCTCCTCTCCCATTTGAGCCTTTTATTAAAAAGAAAAATATTCATTCACTTCATTCACAGAAGCCACTCAGTCAGCATCAGACTTATGTTTATGTCTCATTAGTCAGAATCAGCCCTGCCTAGCTGCCAAAAAAAAAAATTAGGAAATCAAGAACTGGGCTTTCCTGTATCCATAATGGAAAGCAGTGCAAGAGAATTGGCCAACCCATAGTGTTACCACATCCCCAGAATTATCTCAATCTAAGCCAGGAAAGATTTCATTGGTGGGGGGGGTCATTTCTGCCTCAGGCTCTATCCCCACACCTGATTTCCTCCCCCAGCACTATGAGCAGACCGCTCCCTTCAACTACGCCATGGACATCCTCAATATGGTCTTCACTGGCCTCTTCACTGTTGAGATGGTGCTCAAAATCATCGCCTTCAAACCCAAGGTGCCCTCAGCCCTAGACCCACTCCCAGCGGGTAAATTCCTTGGGGGTGGAGCTCATTGTAGAACTCTCAGGAAGGGCAACCACCAGGAAGTCAGGAAGCTAGGGAGTGAGAGGGATCTAAGTGCAGGCCCATCATGTGGTCCAAGTGGGCTTCTGTTTCCTTGATGCTCCCTGTCCCTACTACTTCTACCCTAGCTTGGTAGCTCTGAGAAGACAGGGCACCACTTTCTTCCTGCTACAGCACTATTTTGCCGATGCCTGGAACACATTTGATGCTCTTATTGTGGTGGGCAGCGTGGTGGACATCGCAGTCACTGAAATCAATGTGAGGACTGGTCTCTCCACTAACCTGCTCTCCCCACACACACCTTCCCCCATCTCTATCCCAAGGCTCTCTTTCACATGGGTGAGTGGCTCCCACTCACATTCACTCTACTCATGGAGACTCAATGCTCCTCATTCTAGCTCTATCTCTTCTGAGTCCTTATTGGGCTCAGCCTAAGCCCCACTTTTCCAACCCCATCATTCCATTTTGCAACCCATCCATTGACTCCAACACCTTCTAAAGTGCTTCTATTATTTCTGTTATCTCTTTCATTGCCTCTACATCCATCTCCATTGGCTTCATCATCTCCACGGTCTCCTGCTTTGGCTCCATCATCTCTTTTGACTCCTTCATGGCTCCATTTCCTCCACCAACTCTATCATCTTCAACGCTGGGTCTTTCGTGGCTCTCTCGCCAACACTGACTACACCACTGGATCCATCGTCTCCTCCATTGGAGGCTGCATGATTCTATCACTTCAATTGACAACAATGCTGGTCCTGTATCTCCATCATGGCTTCTCCATTGGGTCCTCCACTGGTTCTCTCATCTCCATCATCTCCACTGACTGTACCACTGGCTCCATCATTTCCTCCATCGGCTCCAATATTGTTCCTATATTATCTCTTGTACCATCTCCTCTCCCTTCCATCCCCATTACCAACTTACCACAACCATCTTGATCTACTATCACATAACCTTCCCCATCAACCTCTGCATACTAACCCTATCATCTCCTATATCTGCTCCATCATTTCTCCCCTTGTTCACTTGGGCCTGTGTTCCCATCATCTCTTCTATCATCTCTTTCTAGAATGGTGGACACCTGGGCGAGGTAGCACCCACTTACAACAGAGTCTGTTTCCTTTCCCACCCACCCTCCCTTCCTTCCTTCTTTTATTGAAAGTCCTTAGAGATGCTTCCTGATCACCATGGGCCCTGAGTTCTAAGGAATTTGGGATATGGGAGGGCCAAGGGATGAGAGAGGGGGGTGGCTAGAGCAAATGCAAACTAAGCATACCCACCACACTTCCAACCTCAGAGCTCTGAGGACAGCTCCCGCATTTCCATTACCTTCTTTCGCCTTTTCCGTGTCATGCGACTAGTCAAGCTTCTCAGTAAGGGTGAAGGAATCCGTACATTGCTCTGGACATTCATCAAGTCCTTTCAGGTAAACCCTCACTCCATTCCTTTTACCATCACCTCACCCTTTCCTCACATCTCTCAACCTGCCCTTTACCACCCCCAGAACTGCATGTCCCAGCATGCCATACCCATCTCCAACTTACTGTTCCTAGCTTTCTCCCATCTCTGGGCTCCCAATTCCCAGCATGGCTCTGGCCTCATTGACCCTACTCTGTTTTATTTAATATTGTGTTTATGGTTGGATAGTATGCCCCAGTTTGGGAAGTAATGATAATCCTTGACACTCTGAGATGAACTATATCTCCCAGAATGCCCAGACTCTGAAAAGCAGTGCATTCTGGGGCATATAGTTCTTTGCCTGGACCTGAGCATCTATCTTCCACCCCACTCCCATAGGCCTTGCCCTATGTGGCTCTTCTCATTGCAATGATATTCTTCATCTATGCAGTCATTGGCATGCAGGTGAGTGGGAACCCTAGGGAGCATCCTTCAGGCACCTCTTTGCAGGAGGAAGGGGTAGGAATAACCCCAAAGTAGAGGTCACATTCATTCACTCACTGCTGTCGAGTCAATTCTGACTCATAGAAAACCCTCTTTGGTTTTCTATAAACCCTCTTTGGGTTTCCAAGGTAGGATCTCTAAGGAAGTAGATTGCCCACTCTTCCTTAAGAGAAGTAGCTGGTGAGTTTGAACCACCAGCCTTCTGGTTAGCAGTCAAATGCCTCAGATACTATGCCACCAGAGCTCTGGGTGGAAAAACAGAAAAGTTGGATGATCCTGAGTTAGTCCACATCTGTGAAATGGGATCAGCAGTGCCTGCTTGTCAGGGTACTGGTGAGCGTATAGGCTTTATGAGGCGTGAAATGGTAAGAACTTGTGGGGGCATGGTTTCACCCCTCTGACACAGCCCCTGTGCACCCACAGATGTTTGGCAAAGTGGCTCTTCAGGATGGCACTCAGATCAACCGAAATAACAACTTCCAGACATTTCCACAAGCTGTGCTGCTTCTATTCAGGTGACATCCACCCCTCCCCTACTGCCTTGGTTCCCAGAATCTCCCCCACTGGGTACCTACACACCTCTGGTCTCCAGATTGCCTGAGCTATGGAAATCACAAGACACCAGGGGGCTCCATACTGCCTGAGACCTTTGCTGGTTGTTATCTGAAGAGCCCTTTAGAATACTCTAGGCTCACCAACCCCCCCCTCCCGACACATTTCTGGATGTAAGATGAAGCCCCTTTGTAGGCCTTAGTGCTCCATCTTTAAAATGTGAACATGACTGTCATCAACATGGCTACACCAGCTGTTAAAATATTGAAATGCTGTATATGCCAGATATAGCAGTTGGTGAGGAGTGAATCATCTTATCCATCCCCCAGCCTCCACAACTCCACTTGCCATGATGTCATAGCTTCCCCTCCAGAATATCACCCCTGTGTGATCCTCAGGTGTGCCACTGGTGAGGCATGGCAGGAGATAATGCTTGCCAGCCTTCCTGGGAATCGGTGTGACCCTGAGTCTGACTTCAACCCTGGCGAGGAGTTTACCTGTGGTAGTAATTTTGCCATCGCCTATTTTATCAGCTTCTTCATGCTCTGTGCCTTCCTGGTGAGAACAATTTCCCACCACCACAACTGCCATGGTGAGGGTCCCAGAGGGTGACCAAATGAGGCAGGGAGCCCAGATCTTCAGAGTGGGTGAGAGGGTTGGCCTGATGCCTAGATCAACCCAGGGACTTGTGACCCATTAACCTTATAAGCTCACCCCAGCATCCCACCAACCCCCCAAGACCCTGTTTTGTCCTTCACCTAACCCTCCGCCCTCTGCTTCCTGGCCCACAGATCATAAATCTCTTTGTGGCTGTGATCATGGACAATTTTGATTATCTAACCAGAGACTGGTCTATCTTGGGCCCCCATCACCTGGATGAATTCAAGAGGATCTGGTCGGAATATGACCCTGGGGCCAAGTATGCCCTCTAACCCTTGACCTGGGATCCCAGGGGTCAATGCATTGCACCACGTAGTCCCTTAGCCCCATAACTTCTGGCCTATGCCCCCCACTACCCAGTCAATAAATGCCCCAAGGTTTCCACTGTCCCTGTCTCCTACTCTCCCCAACTCCCCTTGGGTTCTTCTATGGCAGGATCTGAGGGCAGAGAAGTAGTGATGAGTTTTTAGTCTTGAGAAAGGGCTAGAGGGAATATCACCAATCCAGGGGTGCCACTCCACCCCATCCTCGCCTGTCCCAGGGGCCGCATCAAGCACCTGGATGTGGTTGCCCTCCTGAGACGCATCCAGCCTCCCCTGGGATTCGGAAAGCTGTGTCCACACCGAGTAGCCTGCAAGGTCTGTCCCCCAGGCCTCTGAGAGAGCTATCCATAACATGGCAGGGGTGGAAAAAGACCCTGACTTGGGTGGTGAGGGAGTGTTTGGTAGCATATTCAATGTCCCTGGGCATTCATGCCTGTATACCCAGCCTTTTCCCAGAGTGAGTCTATGTCCCTGGTATGTGTATAGAGACTTGTAGCAATGAACATGCCCCTCAACTCGGATGGGACGGTGACATTCAACGCCACACTCTTTGCCCTGGTTCGAACTTCTCTGAAGATCAAGACAGAAGGTGTGACTGGGGGAAGAAAGAGGGGAGAATGCAGGGAGCAAACTCATTGAGTGGTGGGCACCACCCTCAAAAAGGGTGACTTTAGCCTTCCTGGGCCTGTTTTCCCAATGGGGGTGGTGTGTGGTTGTGCTAGTTTGGGAAGCCCTTCTTCCAACCACAGTGAGTGGGCAGCTGTGAAGGGTTCTTCCTATTGGCCCATACCCCTCATCCCCCAACCCAGGAAACCTGGAGCAAGCTAACCAGGAATTGCGGATTGTCATCAAAAAGATCTGGAAGCGGATGAAGCAAAAGCTTCTAGATGAGGTCATCCCCCCACTTAATGGTGAGCTAACCCCACTCCAATTCCTCAAGCCCACCCCTGAATGTCAGAAGGTTGTTCACAACAAAACCAGCACAGGACAGATGAGGGGGAGTCTTAAGGTGAGCAGAGCTGGAGGACAGGGAGGATCCCGGTGTAACCTTGCTTCCTCTCCTTCACCCCTAGAGGAAGAGGTCACCGTGGGCAAATTCTACGCCACATTTTTGATCCAGGACTACTTCCGTAAATTTCGGCGAAGAAAAGAAAAGGGGCTACTAGGGACTGAGGCCCCCCTAAGCACCTCCTCTGTCCTTCAGGTCTTTAGGGTGGGGAGTGGCCTGGGCAGAGGGGTGTGGAAGCACTGTGGTTGGAGCTGACCTTCCTCTTTATCTTATGAAATCCAAGGAAACTGGAGCTCCAGGACACACAGAAGGTCTAAGATGACCTAGAGGCTCCTTCCACCACCCCATACTCCTGCATGGGAAACAGGCTCATGGAGGGAGTGTTTCAACCCTGAGATGTCCCACTTCCTTATTTTTTCCACCCCTACAGGCTGGTCTGAGGACCCTACAAGACTTGGGTCCTGAAATACGGCATGCCCTCACCTGTGACACAGATGAGGAAAAGGAGGAAGAGGGGCAAGAGGGAGAGGATGAGGAAGATGAGAAGGACCCAGAAATCTACCAAGTGAGAACAAGTTTTTACACCCCTTCTTGTTGTTGTTGTTATGTACCATAGTGTCAGCCTCGACTCATAGCGACCCTTCCTTGGGTTTCTGAGGCAGTATCACTACGGAAGTAGATTGCCCAACCTTCCTTCCGAGGAGTGGCTGGTGAGTTTGAACCGCCAGCTTTCTGGTTAGCAGTCAAGTGCCTTGGGCACTATGCTACCAGAGCTAATTGTAAAATACCCCTCCCCCAATCCCCTGAGTGACTTTGACACTGCCCTATGGGAATTCTCTCCAGAGAAACTCCTCAACAATGGAAAAATATTTATTTGGTACCCACCACCTGCTGTTGAGGGACAAGACCCAGATTTGGCCCCTGGGGAGCTCATGGACCAGTGAGGGAGATGCATTATATGACCAAGTGACTTAGATATAACCTGTATGCAATATTTAGTCCTATTGACTCTCCACAGGCCCCAGTGGTCTCCCAGTCCCCATCTCGCCGGAGTTCCACAATTTCCGTGTCTCTGCCTGTTGAGGACAGACTCCCAGACTCACTCTCCATTGGGCTCAGTGATGATGATGGGGAGGTTCCCAACTCCAGGCAGTCCAGTGTGCCCCAGGCTGGATCCCACACCCACAGGTATTGGCAAGGGTCTGGGGGAAGATTGTGGGGGAAGGCAGGGACTGGACACTGTATGGGGGTAATCAAGGAGCACAGGAGGAGGAATGCCTCTAGGGCTTTGGAGTGGGAATTTGGAAAAGATGGAGGAGATTCTAGGGCTCAGCTGGGAACAGAGGGTACTAAGAGATTTATGGGAGCTCTGGTAGCATAGTGGCTAAGACACTTGCCTGCTAACCAGACGGCTGGTGGTTCAAACCCACCAGCCACTCCTCGGAAGGAAGG